TTATCTAGGGTGAAACAGATCACCAGCCCAGGTTGGATGCATGAGACAAGTGCTCGGGCCTGGTGCACTGGGAAGACTGAGAGGGATTGGGTAGAGAGGGAGGTGGGAGAGGGGATCGGGATGGGGAATACATGTAAATCCATGGCTGATTCATGTCAATGTATGACAAAACCCACTACAATATTGTAAAGTAATTAGCCTCCAACTAATAAAAATAAATGAAAAAAAAAAATCTTAAAAAAAGAAAAGAAGAAGTCTTTCTTTTGTTGGGGCTTCCCTGGTGGTTCAGCGGGTAAAGCGTCTACCTGCAATGCAGGAGACTTGGGTTTGATCCCTGGGTCAGGAAGATCACCTGGAGAAGGAAATGGCAACCCACTCCAGTACTCTTGCCTGGAAAATCCCATGGACTGAGAAGCCTGGTAGACTACAGTCCATGGGATTGCAAAGAGTTGACACGACTGAGCAACTTCAATTTCTTTCTTTTGTTAGACCTCTTCTGTGAGATACCCTGTTTGCAGTTTGTGTAACGCTTTCTTCTTTCGCTTCAAATTAGGGTTGGGAGCCTTCCTATTCAGTTCACATCTCTTTGTTTTTTTTTGATATGAGCTTTGTCTTTTGATGGGAATTTATCATTCAGAATCATGTTTCAGAAAATAAATTTTATGGTTTGGTACTATTGTTTGATAATAATTTACTTCATTTCTTTTTAACCGGTCCTCAACTGAAAGAAGATAAGTAACCTGACATACTAGTTTTCACATAAATAAGGAGAAATAGGCTGCTTTCAGTGGTTTGCATGATATTTGATTATGACCTGGTTGTCGTTCAGCTACTAAGTCATTCTGACTCTTTGTGACCCTATGGACTACAGCATGCCAGGCTCCCCTGTCCTTCACCATCTCCCAGAGTTTGTTCAAACTCATGTCCTTTGAGTCAATGCCATCCAGCCATCTCATTCTCTGTCATCCCTTTCTTTTGTCCTCAGTCATTCCCAGCACCAGGGTCTTTTCCAGTGAGTCAGCTCTTCATATCAGATGGCCAAAGTATTGGAACTTCAGCTTCATCATCAGTCCTTCCAAGGAGTATTCAGGGTTGATTTTCTTTAGGATTGACTGGTTTGATCTTGCTTTCCAAGGGAATCTCAAGAGTCTTCTCCAGCACCACAGTTCGAAAGCATTAATTCTTTGGTGCTCAGCCTTCTTTATGATCCAACTCTCACATCTGTACATGGTGATAGTTTACTTGCTAAGTTGTATCTGACTCTTGAGACCTCATGGACTGTAGCTTCCCAGGCTCCTCTGTCCATGGGGATTTTCCAGGCAAGAGTACTGAAGTGGGTTGCCATTTCCTTCTCCCACAACTGTACATGACTACTGGAAAAACCATTCCTTTGACTACATGGACCTTTGTCGGCAAAGTTCTGTCTCTGCTTTTTAATACGCTGTCTAGATTTGTCATAGCTTTTCTTCCTAGGAGATCTGGAAGACAACATATTCCTTACTTGATTAAATCGATAAATATTTGAGGTCCTGTCACATGTCAGGGTCTATGTTGGGTCCTAGTGATATACTGGTGAACAACAGAGATAGAGTCCCTGTCGTCATGGAGCTGAAGCCTAAGGGGGATGCAGTTCTAGAGAAAGATAAACATTTAATGCAACAGATACTTTGATAGGGAAGGTTCAGTGTGACCTGAGCGTTAAGAACACCTAACCCAACCCTGGGAGGTGGCTAAAGAGAGATCTGAGGTAATCATGTGATATAGTCCTGAAGTGTCCTCAGCACCTTTATGTTTTCTTATACCACCATGAGTTTGTGTCCAAGGGAATCCCACTGTCTTGGAGAGCTAGAATTACCACCTCTTTTGTTTTTCCCCCTCTCAAGCAGAAACTGAGTTTGATAAGTGCTGTTGAGGTCCATATTGAGGTCTTGGAAAAAGCTTTGCTGAGCCTTTGCCCTCCTGGAGAAAATTTCCTTGTTCACATAACCCCCAACCAGTCTATTTCTCATTCTCAACATTTTATCTTCACCCATTGTCTCTTATCCCTGGCTGTAGTGCAAGTCATAGTTGGCATTCATACCCTGTAGAAAGGAATTAATAATGCCATAATGAATCTTTTTCTTGAGTTTCTTTTTTTACCACCATCTTAGTTGATTAGGATTTATAAACATCTTTTTTGTAGAGTTTTGAATATTGATGCTGAATCAAAGTACTTTAATTCATTTATAGGAAAAATCAAAAAGATTTTTTTTTTCTGTTCTCTTAGTTTTCATACCTTGGAGAATATCCAGTATGATGGAAGCATTACAGACAGAAAAACAGTTATGGGGAGAAAAGACCGTTTAGGTTTCTCAGAGGAAATAGATGGTACTTTTTATTATTGATATTTCATAAATGAGCAGTCACTTTTGGGACCCACATATTATGTCAGATTTTAAAGTATTATAGTTGTGAGCTTTTGAGTAGACTCTAAGCTACTCAGTCTATACATACACACATATTCATTTGAGGGAAAACTTACATTCTGCTAATTTTCCATATGTATTTTGTCAACTAAATATTGGAAGATACAACTCTATCCAGACTGACAACATTTGAAAATATCTCTCAGTTTTGCTTAAAAAATCCCTATGTGCTGTGGCTGTTTTTCTGGCATTTGTAAGACATTTTATTTCTGTTTGGTTTTCAAGTCTTCATGTTTTAACCAGTCATTTTTGGTTGGTTGAAAATTAGCCACTTTAGTTTAAATATACTTCCCCTGGAAAATGAGATTAAAAAAACAACCTCAAAATTAAACTGAAGCATTTTCTTAAAATACTTAGCCTAAAACGGCTTGGTATACATGATATGGAAAAGTAAAACCTTGGAATTATATGGACATTAATGGTAGATATTTTGCTTCTCATGATGATGATAATAGAGGTGCTGGATTCAGCCTGGAGTTGGGAGTCACATATTTGGACTTCCTTGGCTCTATTGCACTGAGACAAACCAGCTTAGTACCCAGTGATTTTGTCAGTTTCACAGTCAGTGTTATATATTAGAGATTTTTCATCCAATCTCAACTCTTTGGGATTAGATTTTTGTAGACTAATGGAGGGCTTTCTAGGTAGCACAGTGGTAAAGAATCCACCTGCCAATGCAGGAGACGCAAGAGATACAGGCTCAATCCCTGGGTCAGGAAGATTCGCTGGAATTGGAAATGGCAACCCATTCTAGTCTTCTTCCTGGGAAAAGCCCATGGACTGAGGAGCCTGGTGGGCTACAGTCCGTGGGTTGCAAAGGGCTGGACATGACTGAAGTGGCTGAGCAGTGCACAGCACAGAGTATAGGCTGCTAATATGGATTGTGGAGAGCTGCTCGCTTTAACTAACATTTGTTTTAACAGCTACTTAAAGCGCAGAAGAAAGCCCAGAGAAGGGAGCACATGCTAAAACTTGAGGCTGAGAAGAAAAAGCTTCGCACTATACTTCAAGTTCAGTATGTATTACAGAACTTGATGCAGGAACATGTACAGAAAGACTTCAAAGGGGGCTTGAATGGTGCAGTGTATTTGCCTTTAAAAGAACTTGACTACCTCATTAAATTTTCAAAACTGACCTGTCCTGAAAGAAATGAAAGTCTGAGGTAAGTTAATAAAAATGTTTTCCTAAAACAAGACACATGACACTTTAGCTTTTCAGTGTATATATTCAGCGTTGGAAACATTGGCTGTCCAGGCTCTCACAAGGTTGATAGCCTGTCTAGTAGGAAAGTGAATTTGAATGGTATCACTAACCTGCTTCTTTATTGTAACACTGATCTTTAAAATGTCTTATAGTTTAGCCTTATACTGGTATTAACCATAATATTAATTATGTATACTCGTAAACTTTTTTTTGTAATTGTGTCAGACTGTTGTATGACCTGAGAGTCTTTGTCTCCTTACTGCTGTACCTAAGTGGAGGTAAATGAAATTTAACTTGATCAGTATCACTCAGCTGTCAAAGTTAGAATTATTTAGTGTTCTTTTGCTGTGAATAAATACTGAGGAATAAATTTGACAATTTAAAATAAAAAAACGGCAAATTGAGGCATCTCAATTTTTTTCTTCTACAGCTATCTATTTGCTGTTTTTGCTTAGATGGAATATGGAGTAAATCAGCTAATGAGCCGAGCTCTGTGCTTTTGATTTATTAGATTCAGATAGTTTCCATGTTGTGTTTGTTAGCCATGCAAAAACAGAGTTAGTTTCAACTGTTATTAGAAATTACCCTATCAGTTCAGAAAGAAACCTTATAAAACTCTTTAATTACCTATGTATAGCCATGTATTTATTTATGTACTCATTCCTACCTGATGCTCTACTCCACAATCATCATCTGTTTGATTGCTTCCTTCTCATGCTTCACTTTGGTAGATCCAGGGAATAAAGCTTACTTTAATATTTCAAATGTAAGTGAAACCTAATTTGAAAAATGAGCTGCTCTCTTTAAAGTCTGATGTAGCTCTTAATATTTCCATTTCACTGTTCTTTTATCTAGGATGTATACTTGGTAATGAATGATACCATACTGATTGCTTTAAACTCTTTTTGAGTCTATTCCTTAATAGCCGTATTTGTTAAAATCTTTATTTTAGTTGTTTTAGGGAAAAATGCTTATAGAGGAAGTCTGTAAATGGGCATTTAGTCATCTTTTATAAAATTTCAATTTTTTATTTCCAGAGAGTAAAAAAACACAAAATGAACACTGAATGTCTTAATTGTTGATGGGTTATATTGTATAAATTGTTCTCTTCCATGTGGCTCTAAAACCACTTTTCCTGCTGCTGCTTTTCCTTTCAGTGTTGAAGACCAGATGGAGCAGTCATCCTTGTACTTTTGGGACCTTTTGGAAGGTAGTGAGAAAGCAGTGGTAGGAACGACATGTGAGTTTTCTCTACTCTGGACTTATGCAGTAAATACTAAATTTTATGTTTAGGAGTTTAGTATGATATCAAGGGCCAGAACTGTGTCAGTCCATCAGAACTTACATGTCTGACAATACTGGATTCATTGACAGAATGATAGCTTTGTTTTGTTCTGTTAGAAGCAGCTCTTGTTTAATTGTACTCACTAAAATGGAACCTATGGTGAGTTTTGAGGTGGCAATTCACTATAATTTGGGAACAGAGCTATAGACTAGTGCTTGACCATCTTGGGGTTCAGTTCTCTGTTCTGCGTGGTAGTACCCATTCTGTTTAGGAAACTTAAACCCACGCATTGTTAATATCAAAGCTTATTTACCAGACCTGCTTAAGAAAATACGAATGGTTTGGCTCCATAGTCTATTGAAACATTGTTGTCTACCGATCTGGAAATGATCTGGAGAGAAAGAGTCCTTTCGGCTTTGTAAGTAGGCTTTGACCAGATGACCAAGTACAAATGTCTGGACATGAAGTACATAATTTTGTGTACTAGTTTAGGATAATGAAAACTCAGTGGAAGCTGGTAAACATTTTTATTACTTCCTTTAGAAAAATATTTGAGTATGGATAACTATCTCAATTTCTTAAGTCCTTTCAAATTTAAATCACAGATATTTATTGCTCGGTTAGAATTCAAAGTGATACAAATACTTTGGAAACTAGTTTGTCAGTTTTTTAATAAAATTGTGTACACTTGCTATATCACCAAGTAGTTATACTTCTAGTACCCAAGAGAATTGAAAACATACATTCACTTAAGTACTTGTGCATGAATGTTCATACCAGCTTATTCCGAAGAGTCCCTAATTGAACCCAGTCTGGATGTACATCAACTGATAGTTAATAAACAAAATGTGATATATCCATACAGTGAAATCATTTCAGCAGTAGCAAAGGAATGAATTATTGATACTGTAGCAGCATGTGTGAATCTCAAAATAAATTATACTGAATGAAAGAAGCCAGACAAAAAATGAGTGCATAATGTATGATTCCATTTATATGAAATTCTAGAAAAGTCATTACGTGAATGATAGCGGGTCAGTGGCTCCTAGGGAGAAGGGGGAAGAGATTGTTTACAGAAGGGGAGTAAGGGAACTTTTTGAGTTGATTAAAATAGTCTATTGTGGTTATGGTGGAAGTAACATGACTATTACACACCTGCTAAAACTGTACACTTAAAATGAGAATTTTGTTTCTTGTAAATTTTACCTCAAAGTTGATTTTAAAAGGAAGGTAATCTGTGTCATAGTATTTCTCTGAAAGGAATAGTAGACCCAAATCAAGTTTGAGAACTCTGCTTTATTTGGGAATTATGTTTTTAGTGGCTATCAAAAGTGAAATAGACTTTAGATCTGTTTATGATTTTTAACGTCATTTTAAGGTTTTTCTTGATTATCAAAGGGTGATGTGATAGGAGTGAAATACAGCATAATTCAAGAGTAAAATCTTAATCATGGAATTTTGTGCTTTGAACATTGTTTAGAGATTGTCCAAGATAGGTTTTTCTAAAGATTATGTTTGAGGAACTCTGTTGTTTTACTTCTCCAAAGCCGTAGTTACTTGGAGAAGGTAGAGTAATTGCTTATTGTGATGTCTTGGGGGTGGATGGGAAAATTCTGTTTTTCTCCCAGCTCAGGGAATACATATGTGTTTTTTATGACATACTAGAGTCTTCAATTGGAATCTCTGATTTTTAGTCATTTTCCAAATGGTGGAAATGGAGGTCCAGAGAAACTTAAGTGACTTGTTAAAACTTTGGGATTCTGACTTTTAAAATTTATATTCATTCAGTATGAGGTAATGATGGACTGTGTATTTCCTTTTTATAGTATGACCAGTTCTTTAAGTATCCCCAATGTAGAATGTTATAATGACATATATCTAGGATAAAATTACACTAAGATTTCTATTTCAAATAATCTTCCATGAACTATTCAGCTTTGTGATAACTAACTCTTAATCACTTTTTGTTAGACAAACACATGAAAGATCTACTCTCTAAATTGCTGAACTCAGGCTATTTTGAAAGTATCCCAGTTCCAAAAAATGCTAAGGAAAAAGAGGTATCATTGGAGGAAGAAATGCTAATAAAATCGGAGAAGAAAAAACAGTTATTGAAGACTGAATCTGTTAAAGAGTCAGGTTTGTTCTGATCTCTGAGATTCTTTATAGTGGTTGCATTTTTAACACTTAACCAAATGAGTCAAATCATTGTAAAATGAGTGCTTTGTTTTATTTTCTACATGCATAGAAATCTTTACTAATCCCAGGATAAGCCTAGGTTTAGGAAACATCTCTAGGCTTTACTACCATGATTGGCAGAGTGAATCTCAATAGAAACTTTAGGTTATACTTTGTTACAAGAGAGTATACTGTTAAAATGAGGCATTTATGGAATTTGAATGAACCTTTTCATTAAACTATTAGGATCATTCCATTTAAAGCTGTTTAAATGTAAGTTATAGTAGAGTTCAATACTTTACTGTAGGCCAAGAATATAAATAATCTAAGGTTAACATACTGATCAAAGGAAAAAAATGCCAAAATCAGTTAAAGAAGTATGTTTTTCAAAATTCTACTTTTCTTGGAGAAGAGATACTTTAAGTAAGTAACACATTTACTAATGATTGTTGAGGCTGGAAAGAAATATTACTTCTAAGAAGGTAGTCCAAGCAGCTTTCTGGTAGCCACTAGCAAGATTCAAGTGTTTCTCATTTATACCCCATGATACCAGAGCTATAACTCTATCTTGAAGGAAGCTGGTGTTTGTGGGTAAGGGGAGATAGTCCTATTTTCAGTCAGAAATCAGTTTGTAACTGCAGCTTGAATTCAGAAAACTGTCTTGCATAAGGAGAGCGACGAGCTCCAACTAGCTTCAGCCCACGTGCTTTTGACCAACACCCAATAGTGAGAATTACTTCTTCCATAAATATACTTAATTGTACCGTTCTTTTTCTATTAACCCTTCTGAAATTTGTTTCTTAAATGAGTTATAGTGTAATCAGTCTGAAAGCTTACAGTTTACCTGGTATTTATTTAGTATTTCTTTTATTTTCTCAGAGTCTCTTATGGAACTGGCACAACCAGAGATACAACCACAAGAGGTAAGGTACTAAAAGGCAATTTTCAGTCAATTTTGGGTTTTGAGACTTGCGGGTAGTGTTGTGGTTAGAAACTGAGGCTCTGGATCTAGACTGTATAAGCTTGAATCCTGGCCTTGCAGCTTATTAGCTTAGTGACTTTGGGCGAGATACCTAGCTCAGCTGTGTCTGTATTCTCCTGCATAAAATGGGGATAATGATAATGCCTACCATATATAGTTATTGTGGGGTTTGAAGGATTTCACTTAAATTCTAAGTTACTTACACTTTGGCCTGGCATACAAGTTACAAGTGTTAGCTGTTGCTGTTTTTGGCTCCTGTACTGGAATTTAAAGATGAGTAGGATTTTGCTCTTGCCAGAATTTACTCATATTGGTAACAGAAGAGGATATTTGTTCTCTTTCTGAAGTGACATTTTAATTCATGGAGGCTGAAAATAATGGAAGAAGCAGAATCACAATATGATTGATACATAATGGGAATAAAGAAAAGGCTGGTAGTTCAGGGAACATAAGGCTTCAGTATAAAGAGAATAACTTTGTATAGTTGAACTATCCTCTGCCTTAACATTTAAGGGAGTCAGGTGGTGCAAAGGTGGCAGAGGCAGAATAACCTCGGTAACAGAGCCTGAGTCAAGCAAACGTGGCACCATGATGTGCTCTGCTTGCCAGTCTTAGGTGAGTCAAATGTCGTCACTACTTTTGAAGTTTGTCTTTCTGTTAATTGAGGGGAAAGGAATGGACCAAAAAGGAGGAGACTCTCTTCAAGTAGGTTAAGGACAGAAATTTCCTGTTAGCACAGTGGTTCAGACCAGTGGACATCGGAGTTTAGTACTGCCCCCAAGTTCTACAGACTGACTTGAGCACGTTTTCCCTCTGCTTTAGTTTCTTAACAGACGCTACATGACAGAAGTAGATTATTCAAGTAAACAAGATGAAGAGCAATCTTGGGAAGCAGATTATGCTAGAAAACCAAATCTCCCCAAATGTTGGGATATGCTTACTGAACCAGATGGGCAGGAGAAGAAACAGGAAACCTTCAAGTCCTGGGAGCCTTCTGTGAAGCACCAGGAGGTATCAAAGCCTGCAGTTTCCTTAGAACAGAGGAAACAAGAGATTCCAAAACTCAGGTCCACTCTGCAGGAAGAGCAGAAGAAGCAGGACGTCTCCAAAACCAAACCAGCTCCTGGCCAGTGGAAGCAGGAAGCTTCCAAATCCAAAGCAGGATACATTCAAGAGGAACAGAAGAAGCAGGAAACACTGAAGCCTTGGCCAGTTCAGCCACAGAAAGAACAGGAGCCAAAGAAGCAAACACCAAAGTCTTGGACACCATCTGTACAGAGTGACCAGGACATCACCAAATCATGGACCTCTCCCACGTGTGAAGAACAGGATTCAAGACATCCAGAGACTCCAAAATCCTGGGAAAACAATGTTGAGAGTCAGAAACACCCTTTAACACCACAATCACAGATTTCTCCAAAGTCCTGGGGAGTAGCTGCAGCAAGCCTCATACCAAATGACCAGCTCCTTCCCAGGAAGTTTAATACAGAACCCAAAGATGTGAGTTGATTTGTTTCAGTCTGTTCCTGTCATTGTAGGCATAAATAGAGATTTGTGATAATGATAATTTAAATTTCTCTTTAGAAAAAAATCAGTAAAACCCATGTTAATATATAAAGTATTTCACTTAACCCTTTAATGCATAGTGTGTTTTTCCTAGAAAATTGGAAGCAGACTTAGTCTGTCTTTTGTGCCTAACCTGAAGTGAAATTTCTATAATTAGAAAATATTGGTTTAATGCTCAAGATTTAATGACATAATGTGACATCAAAATAATGATAGTTCAGAGAAGACTATAATGTGAAGTGAGATATGTAAATGCATATCAAAAGGTGGGAGACCTTTTTCTGATGCAAGTTACATTTTTCTGTATTCTCTTCCTTCTCTTTCACTGACTTAGAGTCATTCAATTAGCCTGTCCTCTTTGAATAAGGAACAAATGGACAGGAGAAGAAACAGGAATCTTTGATGTCCTGTTTCTGAAGAAGTAGTGGTTGGGGAGGGAGCTGGATTAGTTGTCTGTTTCTGTTTCAAAATAAGAATTTTCTGCAGATGAAAAGTATAGGTGTTTACCATTCTATAATTAGGTTTTGGAGTATGAGATTTGGTTCAAATATGAGGCCTCATTCTGTTAATAATAAATAACCCATGCTAGTAATATAAGGCTTATAATGAATAATCCTTAGATAAAGTGCTAGTTAGTCTTGTCTTTTATTAAAAGTTATTTACCACTATTTCAATGCAAACTTGTTGAAGACTTGTTATCACCTTGTTTGCTAAGAAGTGTGAACTCACCATTGTTCTCCCTGTCCATCTCGTAGTGTTCCTGAACTTCCATTCCATTTTAGCCAGAAGTGAAAGTGTTAGTTGCTCAGTCGTGTCCAACTCTGTGACCCCATGGACTAGTCCACTAGGCTCCTCTGTCCATGAAGTTTCCCAAGGCAAGAATGCTGGAGTGGATTGCAATTTCCTTCTCCAGGGGATCTTCCTAACCCGGGGATTGAACCCAGATGTATTGAGGACCATGTATCTTTGGTCCTTTAACAGTTTGAAGAATATTTTTCTATGTTGCACAGGGAACTGTACTCAATAGTTTTTAATAACCTATAAAGGAAAAGATTCTGAAAAAGAATGCACACACACACATATATATAAAACTGAATCACTGTGATGTACACCTGAAAAATGATATTGTATATCATAAATCAACTATACTTCAACTAAAAAGTGAGGGGGCAGAAAACATTTTGTTTAGGGAATTCAGATCATTGCATCTTATAAATTATGCCTGCCTCAATTCTACTTTTTGGGAAGAGAATTTTAGAGTTATTTGTCTCCTTTTATTTTCCTTTCTTCCTCTTTAAGTGGTGATGTAATTTTAGCTTCATCCTGACCTTGCAGAAGATTGATAGCCTTATTTCATTAACCAGATATCATATGACAGTAATTTTAACATGATAGCTATCAATATTTTGGGAAATTTATATTTATAAACCAAATTTAATACTTCAATAAAGTTGCTCAAAAAGCACAGTTAAAAATTCCAGTAGGTATAACAGTGCTGAACCTTGACCATATTAAATATTGATACCCTGCTGTTTGTTGAATAGTATTTAAAATCAAGAATGTTTAATTGTAAAGGTCAGAACTCATTTATTGTACCTTATGGCACAGACATCATCATATTGAAGTTATAGGGTCTCTCAGTGACTGTGAGGATGTGTGTCTGCATAAACACAGTATTTGCCTCTATCTACACTGCAATCTCCACTGTCTTTAATATAACTAAGTACAGTCAAGGGGAAAAAAGAGTTCAAAGCCAAAAGACTAGATACATGAAATAAATCACCAAAGTTCATACTTTCCTCCTAAAAGAGCCTTTCATATATTTCCTTAGGGTCTATTAACTATTATTTTATGATGCTGTTGACGTAGCTTAGCTATGTGATTTCTTAGTGAATTAGAAGGTGGAGAGGAGGAGCTGGTAGGGATCAGTTTGCTGATACCTGTAAGAAATCACCATAAACATGAGGTCTGTTTCAGCAATCTTAAGAAATTTAGCTGGAGGGGGACCACATTCTAAACATCAGTAGCCCTGCCAAAGTATACTTACTTTATAACAAAATATAACAATGTATTTCCTAAACTCTAGGATATATGGGTATACATTTTTGTACCTTAATGTTTCTGAAATCAGATATATATTAAAAATGGGATATATATTTAAAGTGATAGTAACTTTTTTCCTTGGAAAAAGGTCATTGAAGCATTTTATATTGTAGGCAGTGGCATCATATGGAGGACGTAAGGTAACCGATGTCCACAATGAAAGAACTTTTTATCAAGGAAGTTCTGCTGTTATCGGCCTTTCTTTTAAAAAGATGATGTTTAGCAATAGTTCCCATTAAAGTTGTACTGAAGGGGGAAACATATAAGTTTGTTTAAATTACTTAGAAGAGGCATTTATGTGGAAATTCTTTACCTGAGATAAACCTATAAATGAACACTGCTATGTATTTTGATTACATTAAGATGCAGTGATAAGCTAAGTTTCCTGAATCAAGCTGTTGAATTTGAACTTCACTCTTATACATTATGGGTTTATCTTGTAGGTGCCTAAGCCTATGCATCAGCCTGTAGGTTCTTCCTCTACCCTTCCAAAGGATCCAGTATTGAGGAAAGAAAAACTGCAGGATCTGATGACCCAGATTCAAGGAACTTGTAACTTTATGCAAGTATGAGTCATTATTAAGTGAATCTTAAATGCTAGTTATGGGGCTACTAGCTTCTGGTCTGAAGCACTAAATGAAGTTGTTAAGAGCATAGATTCTGGTGTTCAGAATGAGTATAAATCTCGGCTCTGCCACTTGCTCGCTCTGAGAGTTTAGGCAAGTTACTTAACTTTCTGCCTCAGTTTCTTTTTTGCAAAAAAAATGAGGATAATAGTTCCTGTTTGTTGTGAGTAATGAATTAAACATGTAAGAAGCTTTAAGTGCTCAAATGATATTGCTGCTGTAGCTCATCAGTAGTTTCTACTCACACTGTGAGAACCTGTACTGTGCTTGGTATTTGATAGATGCCATTGTGTGTAAATAATCATGACATCGATTGCCCTCAAAGAGTTTATATTTCATTTGTATACGATTGTAAACTTGAGTTAAGTCAATAGTTAAATGTTAAATTGTGTTATACAAACACGTGCAGAATTTCAAAATATTGTGACATAATTGAGCTAGGAAGTAGGCAAATAGAGATTTTTGTGTGTTAATAGTAAAAAGATCTTGCTTTGGAATTAGACCTGCATTTAAATCCACTCCTGCCAATTACCAGTTATATAATCTGACAAACTCCCAACCTTCTACTTTTTTATTAAGTGAGAGAATTGCTTACTTCTTCAGATTATTTGATGATAAATAAAGGACCTAAAATATCACTACAAGTGTGTAAGTTAAGTACGTTGGAAATATTTCCAGGATAACCAAGATAGGCACATGGGAGAAGAGAACGGCTTCTTGTCATGAAAGTATCTAAGAGCATGAGTTAGTTTAGTGGTTGAGATAAAATAATTAGAACTTCTCATTGGTTATAATAAAAATGAGGGCTCAGTCTATGCTAGGATTAATATTTATGTTTAAACCTTCAAGTGAGGAGTTTTCCTAACTTGGCCTTAGAATTACTCTTAGAGTTTTAATACTTGATAGTCTTAAGGCTTGACAGTTACTTTAGATTTACTTTTAATTTCTTCTCCTAAAAGACAAGTTATTAACATCTTAAGATAGTTATTAGATTAATTCCTATAGCTAATAAGCAGAGGTTTATGACAACATCATAAATAATTTAATGGTAATAGGTTTACCAACAAATGGTGATCTTTGTTTCCACTCATTATTTAAAATCTTATCTTTAGGAATCTATTCTGGATTTTGACAAACCTTCAAGTGCAATTCCATCGTCACAGCCGCCTTCAGCTACTCCAGGTAGCCCAGTAGGTATGTCCTCAATCTTAAGACTTGTTATACCTACAGCTGTTTGTGTTCCAATTGTTTCTTTTATAAATAATTTTACTCTTGACTTGCTTGACTCCTTTCAACTCTGTACATCTAGTGTTGAGGCTTTTGCATCCTGTGAGTGAAATTATATCAGTGGTATTTAGTGCACTGATTAACACTGCTTAACACTGATTAACACAGGACTGGAAAAGGTCAGTTTTCATTCCAGTCCCAAAGAAAGGCAATGCCAGAGAATGCTCAAACTACCGCATAATTGCGCTCATCTCACACACTAGTAAAGTAGTGCTCAAAATTCTCCAAGCCAGGCTTCAACAGTATGTGAACTGTGAACTTCCAGGTGTTCAAGCTGGTCTTAAGAAAGGCAGAGGAACCAGAGATCAAATTGCAAACATCCGTTGGATCATTGAAAAAGCAAGAGAGTTCCAGAAAAACATCTATTTCTGCTTTATTGACCATGCCAAAGCCTTTTTTTTTTTTTTTTTTTTTGGTGTTCTTCATTATTCTTGAAAAGAAATCATAAACTTTTTAATCAAAAAAATGTAAAGAAAGATAGTTGTAGATAACATGGCTTGGTTCATTGCACTTATTTCTTTTCAGACAAATGCACTGTTTGTATCTCTCTTGAAAAAAATGCTCCACAAAAAGCTTGAAAACCTTTTTGTCATAATACTCTGCAAAGTTGTCACTATCAAAATTGAAGCACACCCTCCTGCCTTTCTCCCCAAGTAAAGTCTTGTTTATTTTCTTTTTTTTTTTCATGTATAACAGAAATTTGGTGTCTTTCTAGCATTGCAGAAAAGTTCCATGGTTACTGAATCCTGGCCCATTATTAAGATTGTCACTCACAAATAAGCTTTTGCCAGAGAAACTGGAATTAGCAAAGACCTTCTGACAGAAATTGGATTGTTGTGTTTCATGTTAGTCTAAATTGTCTTCTATTTTTGTCAGTTATGCTATAATCTGTTACCCTGAAGGGAAAAGCATAATTTCTCAAATTCATAGCTTAGTTCATAGTGATCACTTTTAGTTTCCAAGCACGGCAGTTTAGTTTTACACTGTAGTGAATATGCTTTGATTTGAAGTGGCAATAGGGACAAAAGCTTCATCCTGGAGCCCCACTGTACATTTTTAATGTTGTAAAGAAAATAACTTTATCTATTTATATATTATACTCTTACTGAATTACAGAAGTTCTGCTCTTTCTACACCTGGAATTTAATTTTGTTCATTTGAAAATCTTTAAAAAAATTTTTTTAAACTTTGTCAGCAAAATCGAAGAGCTCTGTGATCGGCACATGAGAGCTTTCATTGTGTGTCTTGCCAGAGGTATAATTCTTGGCTGAAGTTTTGCCTTGTGAGCCTGAATTTTAAACTTTATATCCATGTATAAAATCCTTAACTTAAAGCTTCATACTAGATAAAGGTCATTTTATAACTTAGAAAATGAACATTCAAAGAACATATTTTNATGGAATATTACTCAGCCATTAAAAAGAATTCATTTGAATCAGTTCTAATGAGATGGATGAAACTGGAGCCCATTATACAGAGTGAAGTAAGCCAGAAAGATAAAGACCATTACAGTATACTAACACATATATGTGGAATTTAGAAAGATGGTAATGGTAACCCTATATGCAAAACAGAAAAAGAGACATAAAACATTTTAAATATCACAGATGGAACTAGGATCCTTTTTCTCTATAATCCTCTCTAATTTTTTAAAGCTCTAATAGACAGGACTTGAGACCCAGTTCTTCTAGATGCTGCTTGGTTTTATGAAATATGAACTTTAGTTTCCATCCAGTTGGTATGCATAAACTTTTCTCTTCCCTCAGTAGTTTACTGTTGATTTCACTCTCCACAGCATCTACAGAACAGAATCTATCCAATCAAAGTGATTTTCTTCAAGAGCCATTACAGGTAACTTCTCCAGATTCATCTTTCGTTTACTCTTTCAGGAGAAACTCTTGCTTTGGTATGAACAGTCAGACTCACTGATCCTAATATTCCTAACTAAATTATTGAAAATGTTTTAAGGATATCTAGTTTTTTAGATCAAGTAAAACTGGTCCTCAAAAAATTCCCTAATGAACATGGGCAAGTCATCTGTTACAACGAAGGACATTTTAGTAAGGAAAGAGCAAGCCTGAAGAATTCAGAGGTACTTTGGGAATCTTACTTTGCTGTTTAAGCTACCGAAGTCACTTAGTATATTGGCATAGTGTAAGGAGTCTAAAGAAAGAAACGAATTTTTCTTAATTCATGGTTAGTCCCTCACCCCACTCCCTGCTTTAGCTAAAGAATTCCACGTTATCTGTTCTAGCTATTAGATTTTGTATGAGGCTTTCAGTCAACACGTTAAGATTTTTTTTTGATAAACCAGTAGTCTAGGCTAATTGTTCTCAGAAGCATGCCTCTGCGGTGGCTGCATCAGAATCATTTGGTCACTTTAATAAAAATACACACAATTGACCCTTGAACAATATGGGTTTGACCTGCTCAGGTCCTCTTATATGTGTCTTTTCTTCCACTAAATCCATACAGTACTACATATCTGGGGTTGGTTTAATCTGAAGGTGCGGGACCACAGGTATGGAGGGTCGACTGTAGGGTGCGAGCATCTCCGAATTTTGGTAGCACAGTGAGTCCCGGAACCAGTCCCTGTGGATACTGAGAGAGGACTATATTGTTAGTAACCACCTTAGACCTGTAAGGTTGGCATTTTCAGGGGTGTTGTCTACTCATCTATGTTTTTAGTCTGCTCCTTCGGTGAATCTGCACGTTGATTTTTTGGAACCACTGGCCTCCATCATCATGCTTACTCAGAAATACTTAAGACAAACTCTAACTGGTCTACTTAAAGAGCAATAACTTGGAAGCAAAAACTGCCTTAACTTCTCAATAAATACTAATGTAAAGAATGCTTATCGTTTTTAACCTCTTAACTAAAATTCAAAGTCTCTTAAAGCTTAACTATCAGGTGCGCCAAATTGCCTTAGCTTGGTATCTGTGAATTTTTTGGCAGTTGACTTAGTTGTGTTCCCACAACAGCCAGTAGCATTTATCTTGGGTGGTTGTCTCATTGTTTTAAAGAGGAGGCCTGAAGCAAGGCCTAGGTTTAAAAACACTCCTGTTTTATAATAGTTTGGTCAGATCTAAATTATACTTGTTTAAATATATAAAATGCTCTAAAGGATTAAAAAATTTTTTTCATAAGACCTTTTCCATGAGACTTTTTAAACCTGGTCCCCATCTCCTTACCAAGAAGCAGCATATCATGATGAACTCTTGGAGAAGATGACTGAAACATAACTGCTCTGTTAGCACTGGGTAACCCATTTATTACCTGGGCTTCTGAGAACTGAACTGAAGCATTTAGATAAAAGGAGTGGATTTACTGACACTTCGGACCTTGTGATTGCTAGAATTTTATGGATTTCTGTTATATTCCAATACCTGTTATGCCATAGAATTCTTTCCTAGCTGCTTTCATAGTTTTTTTTTTAATTGGTTACAGTTATCAGACTTAGATCCTAAGTGCCTTCTCCCAATTTTTATTTTATACATATTAGCTTTAATTTTTGTTAGGATATTGGTGCCATTGTGATTTATGTAGAGCTTATCCTTTTTATTTATACTTCTTCCTACTCCTTTAAGACAGTGAGAGCACTTAAGAGTAAAAGATAGTTGTCATGATTCTGGCAGACCCATGCTCGGAGCGTTAATGTACCCTGGGCTTATTGCCCAGGGAGCTTGCTGTAGAGTGCCTGATGGAAAATCTGGCCCCGGATTTCCAGGGCCAAGAATCTTGATAAATGAGGATGGGATTAGATGTGTAGCTTTGGTGACTAGGCCTGGAAAGGCAGTGTAGCTGGCTGCTTGGGTTTGAATCTCAGCTCTACCCCTTAATTTTAAAGTGATCTTGGGTAAATTATTTAACTTTCTTTGGTTCTGCCTGGTTATGAATAAAATGGGAATAGTTGTACCTATTGCACAGGGTTATTGTTAGGAGTGAATATATTAATATGTGTTGAAGTGTTAAGGCATAGCAGTTGGCACTGCTGAGTGTTCAGTGAGAGTAATGTGTTAGGAAGGCCAGGGCCCACAAAATATAAAGTGAACAAATTGTGCCTTTTACAATGTTTTATATCTTCCTGTGTCTAGGCCGCTTCTTCTCCAGTTACTTGTAGCTCAAATGCTTGCTTGGTTACTACTGATCAGGCTTCTTCCGGATCTGAAACAGAGTTTATGACCTCAGAGACTCCTGAGGTAATAAGAGACCAATTGTCTTAATTTCATTTCTGACCTAAAGAATAGCAGAACCAGCTTAATGTGTGAATTACAGTCATGATCAACTTAATGACCGAACATTTATACTTTACTAATGTTTGCTTTCTATTGATGTTGTAGTCCTGGAACTTACACAGGTAACTTTAACTTTATTGTGACTTTACCGTATAAATAGACTTAATAGTGTATTAAATAGACTGAAAAGGCAAGTGTGTTGCCTTTTCAGATACAATAAATTATATCCAAAATGCTAATATCAGAAAGATGAAAATTTCTAGGTAGGGGTAGGATTAGCGATTAGTTCAAGTTTCTAATTATATTTATATTGAAGGACTCCTTAGGAGAAAAATCTTTGATACATATGACTGAAGACTCTATAACTTTATAGTGTTAATATTAGCACTGACTCAGTCAGAATGAGTTCCATTCTCTTTCGACTAATTTTGTCAAAGCATTTTGACAGTATTATGTTTGTGCTTTTGATGGTTTTTACTATGTTTGAGCAAATCCTTGAGCTAGATATAGCATGGTAGGTAGATTTTTTTTTTATTAATTTAGCAACTCAGGTTTTATTATTATTTCTTGGTTTATTATATAAGAATATGTATTCATTATATAAGAAAATAGTTTTTATGATATTGATTTGGTCTAAATTTAAATTAAGTGTTTGCCTCCTAATGAGTCACACCTGTCTGCTTCATTCCCTGATTGGGATTGTTTTTTTCCTACCTTTTAAGTATTTGGCTTTATAATCTGTTGTATCAAGGAGTTGCTAATTCCCTTAGTTAAGAGTTATTTACATTAGCTCAGGTTTGGGTTTTTTTTTTAAAGGCAGCTGACTAAGGAATCCACTAGTAAGACTTTGAAATAGAAAAAAGTTAACACTGACAAAGCAACTCACCCAGGGTTTTTCTTAAGCCCAATTCTTCTCTATAAGTTTGGAATAATATTAGATTATGAACTAGAAAATATCTTTACAGGGCTTGAAAGGGACTAGGTCCTCATAAAAAGTTCAACCCCTCGTCTCTTAGGCTGATTAGTAGTAAGATTCTTACTTAGTCAGCAAGCTGTGCAAAGCAAATACTAGTGTGCATGCTCAGCAATTGAGATTTGAAATTGTAAGCAGAAGCTGTTCTTTTGCATTCCTGTGTCCAAATGTCATCCTATAGGACTTGCTGACTTATGCCATCCTGGGGTTTAGTGTAAGTTAACTGCTTGTTGTATGGCAGGTGATTTGCTGATACTGCATTTCTCCTCCCTAGGCAGCAGTTTCCCCAAGCAAGCAACCGTCTTCACTAGCTTCTCCAAATCCTCCCATGTCAAAGGGCTCTGAACAGGGCTTCCAGTCACCTCCAGCAAGTAGTAGTTCAGTAACCATAAACACAGCACCCTTTCAAGCCATGCAGACAGTGAGTATAATGATTGCAGTTGATTATTCCATTTAAAAAGCTACTGTTTCTTTAATATTGGGTACTATGTGAAAAAATTTGCCTTTTCTATTACTCTTATTTGGACTGATAGAATTTGCATTTGTTCAGTGGAAATATTGTTTATGGAAGGAAGAGTGTTAAATCCAAAGCCTCAATAATTTTGAATGGATATTTTGTCAGGGCATTTACCTTTCTGAAAATTAGTGATAGGCAAAGCTGAGGAGACCCATATTAAAGAAATGAAATGTAAGTGAGAAACATAATTTTCTATAAATAGCTTAATAATACTAACAATTACTAATATCACAGTTCTGGTATTCCATGTCATCAATACCCTGAAATATAGGACACATACTTGTGTGTTCTATTACTGTTGAAACTTTCATTTGATTTCATCTTCATTCATCTCATGCTGGGTTTTGGAGAATTGTTCAAGATTTGTATGGTATTTTGAATTATATATTTGTCTACAAGTTGTAGCTTAAAACTTTTTAAGATTATATTACAACTAAGTTTGTATATTTATTCTCTAAATCTAGAATAAATATAAAACTTTTCCTTAGAAGAACGCAAAGTTTTAGCCAATAAGTACTCTTCCTGATAGTGCTTAATGTCCCACTCCACATCCTTTTGAGTGACAGTGGTGAGATGGGGCCAGTGAAGTGGCAGTGGGAAGCAGACACAACGCAGGGAGATGGGCTGGTGAATTCAGACACATGAATTCACTAATCTTATTACTCCTTGCTTGGCCACCTAGATAGAGCTGAGTGTCCTTGCTTTCCCTCTGTGCCTGTCAATCCATCCTACACAGTATTGTTTTTTAGTAAAAAAAAAAAAACCCAAAAAAACCAAGCTACAGTGGTTTTACTAAGTTTTTCTTATTCCTAATTAAAAGCAAATAGTGTTCCATTATTAAATGAAATTGAATGTCCTTTACCTGACTAACTTTTGAAGCCTGGTATAAATTGCCAGACTAGTCCCCTGGACTTGCCCTGTACATTCTTATCACAAATACCTCTTTTGCTCACACCAGTCTGTCTTCTCTACCTGTTTGGTTCCTATTCAGTACAAATTAGTTCTTATTTGTTCATTTACTCATTTATTCAACAAACAGGTAGTTACAAAGCCAGGCACTGTTCAGCAATGCCTGGGTTGTAACAATGGAGAATAGATGGGTCTTTGTGCTTAAGAAGCTTATACTTTATTATGGAGGTGGGAGGGCTAGAGAGAAAAATACTCATATATATATTATATCATATGTTATATGTTTTGAGGAAAAATGGAGCAGGATAAGGGGCTTGAGAGTAACAAAAGTGCTTTATTATACTCAGTGACCAGAGTCTGGTCAAATCATTGTCCTGCCATGTGGTAGAAATTCAGTAAATGGCAGATTTTTTGATTCATCCTCAGTTTCTAAAAAGTACCCTCTTCCCCTATGAAGTTTTCATTCTCAGTAAGCAGCATTATGATACTGTAATATCAGGAGAGTTAGTTTTTGTACTTGATTTAACTTCTGTCAGAAATCAAGTAGGAATTTTTTTTTTACTGTGGTAAAATGTGCATAAATTTTACTGTTTCAACCATTTAAAAATGTATAATTCAGTGGCATTAAGTACATCCACAGTGTTGTACAGCCATCACCACTGTCTTTTTCCAGAACTTTTTCATTATCCACTTCTTCTCCTTAGCCCCTGGTAACTTCTGTTCTACTTTGTCTCTATGAGTTTGCCTATTCTTAGGTACCTCATATAAGTGGACTCATGATATTTGTCCTTTTTGTACCTGGCTTATTTCAGTTAGCATAGTATTTTCAAGGTTCATCCATCCCTGTTGTAGCATGGATCAGAATTTCATTCTTTTTTATGGTGAAATAACGTTCCATCGTACGCATATATCACATCCTGTTTACCATTCATCTGCTGATGGACACTTGTTTGTTTCCACCTTTAGCTCTTGTGAATGATACTATGCACATAGGTGTACACATATCTCTTTGAATCTGTGCTTTCAGTTCTTTGGGTGTATGCCTGGAAGTGGAATTGCTGGATCATATGTTAATTCTACATTTAGCTTTTTGAAGAACCACCATACTGTTTTCTACAGTCAGCTGTACCACTTTACGTTCCAGTCAGCATTGCATGAGGATTGTAATTTTACCCCACCCTCAGTTATACTTAGATTTTCTGTTTTTTGTTTTGTTTGTGTTTAAGTAATAGTTGTCCTAACGGGTGTGAAGTGGTATGTCATTGTGGTTTTGATTTATGTTTTTATCTAATGGCTAATGATGTTGGGCATCTCTTCATGTGCTTATTGGCCATTTATTGTCTTGGAAGAAATGTCTGTTCAAGTCCTTCGCCCATCAGACAGAAGTTTTTGAATGTTGCAGAGTTTTGCCGAATGTCATCCTTCATTATTTTCTATGAAACTTTGCAGATGACTCAGTGTACTCTGTCTTTAAGGTATTTAATGTTAATGCACCTCTGCCTCCACGGAAAGAACAAGAGATAAAAGAGTCCCCTTACTCATCTGGCTACAATCAAAGTTTTACCACAGCGAGTACACAAACTCCACCCCAGTGCCAACTGCCAGCTATACACGTGGAACAAACTGTCCTTTCTCAAGAGACTGGTAAGATCTTT